TACGTAGCACTCCAGAGGATGTTGGCTGTCAAGTTGGTGGGCTCATTCATTTAGTAGCTATTGCACTGATGAACGCGCACATTGCAGGGCACATTGCTTACGATTCCTATCAGAAATCTTCTAAATCTGGCAAGTCTGATATCGTCTAATGTTAAATCTTCAAAATAACTTTGAGTGAATAAATAATAAATACATGAATAAATAATTAAATAATGATTTAGAGGTAGCAGATCCACTAAGTGGTTCTTCGTCTACCTGATTCCTGGTCGAATTGGAATTTGGAATAAACTAATTAAATAGACCTCATATAGGTGGTTTTCACGTTACGTCATCGCCGCCATGCTGGTGGACGGTAAACAAAAGATTGCTCATTAGCTCGTTTTGTTTGTCCACCAGCATTTGTTCATTTCACCATTGTCATTTGTGTCTCCCGAGATTGCATGAAAACCACCAAAATCGTCAACATGTATTTCGCTTTGATGTCACACTGAGCTAATTGAGTTGACGCACTTTTAAGTGCATCAAGTGCATTAAACTGCAAAATTCAGGTATTCTATTACCAACCTGCTGTTAGTATATCATGCATTCCTGTTGTTGAAGCAATGTCATTTTCTTTGGTTCTTCTTGACTGGTCAACACAAGAAACTTTTTCTCGAATTAATCTGTGGGAAAAAAATCCTAGGTAAGTAGCTCTGGGCTTTTTATTGCTGTTAATCGTAAATATTAGATCTAGTAATTTAAACAAGATCTAACTTTGTTTAATCCCAGCGCAAAAGGACTGCAAAAAGTGATGCTGCTGCTTAATATATTTTATTGATATCAACTCGCGCGCTCGGCGTCTCTCCATCAGGAAAGTCTACAGTGTCCGACTCCTAGCAGAGCTAGTTTCCTGTCACTTCCACGAATTACATGAAAGGAAAATAGTATCGGCAAATCTTATTAAAATTTGCAATCAAATTAGTGGTAACTACTCTTTTTAAATAATCAATTACGATCATGAAAAAGCCTTTCAAACATACAACCGTCTAAGCCGAGTGCTAACTTTCTTCGGATTAACCTCCCATGACAGAATTGGTTATAACCAAATTCAGCATCCTACTGGAGCGTAGAGTCTACCGAATATATGACTAGTTTTTTAATTCACCGTTCGTCAAAAGAGATTTACCGAAAAAAAAAAATGAGTTGATTTTCAGTGCTGAAATCACTTTCCCACAGATGTTAAAACGTTGTTTCACACAAGCTAATCCTGAGATAGTCATGAGGGGCGTTTACACGGGCCCGGACAAATTTTTGCAGGAACAAACGAATTTTTTACCTGTGCAGCAACAGGCCGTTTACACGGAACCCGGATGCAAATTCTGTTACAGTTTGTAGTAATGTTTGCCGCTAAAAACCTTGCACGGTTCTGCAGATACCGTGTAAACTGGGAAAGGCGGACTCGTGCAAGTTTTTATCCGTTCAAAAATTTGTCTGGACCAGTGTAAACTGAATCTAAATATGTGGATATAGACCCCACTCCGAAGGGTTGTTTGAGTGGGCAAATATTGCCTTAAAATTTCTAAAGTTCCGGAAAGGCTAGAAAATTAACCGTTCCATTCGGAGGTAAATCTACTATTATTAACATACCTTCCACATACCTACGATGTTTGGAGGCTATGTTTTTCGCATTTTATTGCCAACATATTACGAACTTGGGTCTCCTGAAAATTTCGGTATAAAGTCAAAACGTCTCCTAGAATTTTCTAATGAGAGGACGGCTACTTTATGCCCTCGAACTTTCCACCGGACCTATCGGGGTAGCTGACAGTTTCGGATGAGATGAAAAAGCGACCTAAAAATTTCGACACGGGGAAACTTCTTCCTAAGTCAACCGAAACGGTGAATAGTTTTAAGGGCAGTTCCAAATTAACCAAACAGGCTTCTAAAGCATACAGAAAACACTAATTGAGGCATTTCTGACGTATTTGGAAAAATTTGGTAGTTGGATACCCCGTTCTCTTATTTCTCTCTAATTCCCACTCGCTCAGTTTGATAAATGTTAGCGAATCGTGTCCTGGAGCAAAGATGTTAGGGACTGCATCTAAGTTTAAAAAAGTCCTTTATGAGGTGTCTTTTACTTAATGCGATACTTCTATCGGCAAAAACTGTTAAAACTGATAGAAGTCGAGTGTGATTGATCTAATTAATTGTTTCTTGCAATTCTAAGAGTACTTTTCTTTCTTTTGCAAATGTAAAAGTACTTTTTGAAGATTTCTACCGATATAATCGTGTAAGACTTCAGTTAGAGCACAGCAAGTCTCACTAAACAACCCACGCAGTGTTTTTGAAAAGACAATTATTCTGAGGTGTTGGAAAAAATAATAAAAAAATTAACTGTAAACAGACACAACAAAAGCTATCGAAATTAGTTTTACTTCATAGGTTCGAAAACAAAACGCTTGTCCAGATCTTCAAACAGCATGACCTCAAAAGCTTGTTAAAAGTGCAGGCTCCCTTGGCGTAAACTGATGAAAAAAGGTCAAACGAAGCGGGATATTAAACTTCGGTTATATACCAACGACGAATCACAAAATTCAATTTACGTCACCGCCGCGGTATACGTAGTCGTAGGCGCTACTTTTGTTACGATCTTAATAAATTCGCGGTTAAAAAAAATTGCTTCTTCAAGTCATCCACTTAATCATAAAACTCTAAAAACAATAGTTTTACAGCTGAAAAAAGTGCAGAAAATCTTACAGACCCACAGTCAGCATGACAACGCCGGCAGAAAGCACTTTAACCGCAAAAAATCTCTCTGTTTAAATTGAAGCAAACCACAAAAACATTTCAATATTTTAATATTTGTGGTTTTATCAGTAGCAGACGCATCGATAAATAAATTATGCGAGTTTAAAATTACTCAAAAGTAGAGTCATAGTGATGTCTAAAATCAATCGTTTCCACACCATAAGTTTATTGCTTGTTTCCTTGCTTCGATCTTGAGAACTACTCCTATAGCATCCACCCAATTTGTAACCTTGCCGGCGGCGAAAAGAAATGTCAAAATTTTTAGGAACGGCTTGATAGAATTCTTAGAAGTCTTTTTCTCATACGCGTTAACTTCTTAGTATGTTTGTTAAATGTGTGAAAATTTCGTTGACATTAACGCCTTTAAGGAGGCTTGCACCCATTTTTCAAGGTTTAACCCTTTCTGTTTGATGTTCTATAACTTTTAAGCTGTAGTGCCGGTACGTTTCCATAACAACAGAATAACGATGACATGCAAAATAAACAAATTGGGAATTTTCTCGAAATCAATCAATAAGCTATTAAAATCATCTAGTGTGCTGATAGTTAAGACCGTTGTTTTTAACTTGGCGAGATGTGAACAGTATCGTCTATGAGAGCGTTTTTGAAATATTATGTTCTAAAAATTTTACAGCTCAAAAAATGTGGTTTTTTTTTTCACTTTTTTCTTTTTAATCATCAAAACTAATGATTTACAGTGCCACAACCAATCCAAAATTTGTCTTAAGGTTCAGTTCAGTTCTTTCAGTAGTGAAAATTGACAATTTGGCTTTTCCGTACATGCATTCCAGCCAAAGTTATGAAGCATCAAACACGAAAAGTGTAAGACGTTGAAAAATGGGTGCGAGCCTCCTAAGGTGTTGGAAACAGTTTCGCAGAGAGCTATTGATAATTTTCAATCGCCTTTAAAGCGATTTACCTCTGGTCGCCACAAAATTTTCACAACTGACTGACTCTGGATTGGAATTTTTCAGAATGCAGTTTGAGTAAAATTGGTCTTAAAATGACAACTATAAACAAAAAAATTTGAAATCAATTGAAGACGAATTTTGCGCGATCTAATCCTGCCATTGAAAATCAGACTCCACAAACTTACATATGAAGTGTTGTGTTTGACGAATAACCTCCTGAGAATAAAAAAAATTGTAGCTATGTTTGAATTCAAATAAAATGTAGATAAATGTCCAGTCTTTTAAGACTGGAGTAATAGCCGTGATACATGAACGAAGAGGCAAAAATTACCCCAAAGAAGTGTCATAATCTGCTTAATATCATATTTCTGCCCTAAGTTTTTGCCTCAGAAACTAGTTTCCGCGCCAAATGAGATCTGATTGGTTGAGGCAAACGGACAAAACAACTCCCAACATTGTTGGGCTACACTACAAAACAGTCGGTTTTTTTCTCAAAATCAGTAAAGAAATCGGTAAAGCGTAACGTAAGGGTTTTACGCGCGCGAAGCGCACGAGCCTCACACGCCCGCCCGTAGGGCGTGTGAGGCGAGAGAAAAAAAAGTCTAGCTCTCTGTTTTCAGCCTCGTTCCAGACCTTTTGTTTGACTGCTCGCGCGTACTTGAATACCCAGAAATACGGACTGTTTTGCAGTCTATTGTTGGGCGAGTTGTTGCGTCCGTTTGTACATAGCTAAGAGTTTGACCGGTTCCAAACTTTGCGCATAGCTGAACGTCTGCGTGGGATGCATTATCAATGAAATTTTCTATGGCAATCAGCGTCATCACGAGGCGAATTTTCTAGAGAATTCTATAGAATCTGGGGTGTGGGTGGCACCCCACAGAGTTTGAGGTTAGTGGACGAGACTGATTACGAAAGGCGGCAATCATCAAAGATAAAAACAAGAGTGCTGCCCTATAAGTTGCTTTGCAAGACACAAATAAGGCACCAGTAGAACAGCTGGCTTATCGTAGCCGTTGACAGCTGTTTCGCCATAATTGTGGTTCGTCAGAAAGGCGTTACAAACGGAGAAGCTCTGGTGAGAAATACCCTCACACTCTTGCCCTCCCGGAGACACGTGATATGGCGTTATTCGGGGCGGACCCTCCCGTTTCCCCTTATAAAACTTTGTCGACTGCTCCCCGGACGTCGCCCTTGGGATAAGAACTCTAAATACTTCGGCGCCGCTTTACCCCGAGAGGAAGTTGATGTTGAGAAAAATAAGGTGTAAAATTCTTCAAACTTTCAGAAACCGATGACTTCAAGATGCCCTTGGCACTCTTCACAATTTGTCTTATATCTGGGATATACGGAAGTGAGGCTGGAGGAGGGCAATGTAAAATTTCAGAGAGATCAGTTCCTGGTAAAGCTCTCAAGGGTCACACCTTCAAAGAGTTTGCAGTGAGGGCCATTGTTGAGTGCCAGAACACCTGTGAAAGAGACCCAAGGTGTGCGAGTTACAATTTTTACATTCCGGGCAGAGTGTGCGAGCTTAACAGCCAGACCAAGGAAGAAAGACCTGAAGACTTTGTGACAGATGAGCTAAGGTTTTATATGAGACGAGAAGGTACGATAATCTGTCTGTTCTCTCCCGTCTATTTCCTAGACTTACTGGTGGAATTGAGCACGTACGAATGCCAAAATACGATAACAAAGTTCCAAGATGCAAATCGAATAAGATTGCCATGTATTGTATGCGCAACATTTGTAAGCTGTTCAAATAAAATCACACTTTGCATGACCTTGACTTAGAGATAACCCACATATTTCCTATGCTAAAATCTGTTTGTACCATTAGATGATGATGAATGCTTGAAGACCCCACCCGTTTGTGACGTCAACGCAAACTGCAAGAACACTCTTGGCTCCTATCTTTGTTCATGTATAGAGGGATTTACAGGTGACGGCAAAACATGTCAAGGTAAAATTTTGAAAAAAAATGTCCTGAACTTTTTCGCTTGTCTAGATCATTCTCAAATTCGTATTGGTATTCCCTGTTTTTGTATAAATATTTCATTTGTTGTTATGTTCAATACCTTTTTTTGTAGTAGAATTGAATTTAGTTAACATCTTTAAACATTTTATTTCAGACGTAGACGAATGCCAGATCAGCTCTCACAATTGTAGCGACAATGCCACCTGCATTAACACCGAAGGTTCCTTTAACTGCATTTGCAAACCAGGGTACAGAGGAAATGGCTACAACTGTTCAGGTACGTGCTTGCAAATTCTTTTCTATTTTTTCTTTAGTTTTAAAGACTTTTTATAACAAAAAAATTACACTAAAAATGTCCAGGCATAATATGATTTCAGAGTTCGTTTTCGTCTTGAAAACACTTATAACATTTTATTTCAGACGTAGACGAATGCCACATGAGCACTCACAATTGTAGCGACAATGCCACATGCTTTAACACCGAAGGTTCCTTTAACTGTAGTTGCAAACCAGGGTACAGAGGAAATGGCTACAATTGTTCAGGTAGGTGCCTGGAAAGTATTTTCTCTTTTTTCTTTAGTTTTCAAAAACTTTTTATTGCAAAAAAATCACAACAAAATGTTCAGGCATAATTTATGCTAGAGTTCGTGCGCTTCTTGAAAACTCTCCTAACATTTTATTTCAGACGTAGACGAATGCCAGATCAGCTCTCACAATTGTAGCGACAATGCCACCTGCATTAACACCGAGGGAACCTTTATCTGTAGTTGCAAACCAGGGTACAGAGGAAATGGCTACAACTGTTCAGGTACGTGCTTGCAAAGTCTTTTCTATTTTTTCTTTAGTTTTAACGACTTTTTATAACAAAAAAATTACACTAAAAATGTCCAGGCATAATATGATTTCAGAGTTCGTTTTCGTCTTGAAAACACTTATAACATTTTATTTCAGACGTAGACGAATGCCACATGAGCACTCACAATTGTAGCGACAATGCCACATGCTTTAACACCGAAGGTTCCTTTAACTGTAGTTGCAAACCAGGGTACAGAGGAAATGGCTACAATTGTTCAGGTAGGTGCCTGGAAAGTATTTTCTCTTTTTTCTTTATATTTAGTTTTCAAAAACTTTTTATTGCAAAAAAATCACAACAAAATGTTCAGGCATAATTTATGCTAGAGTTCGTGCGCTTCTTGAAAACTCTCCTAACATTTTATTTCAGACGTAGACGAATGCCAGATCAGCTCTCACAATTGTAGCGACAACGCCACCTGCATTAACACCGAGGGAGCCTTTAACTGTAGTTGCAAACCAGGGTACAGAGGAAATAGCTACAACTGTTCAGGTACGTGCTTGCAAAGTCTTTTCTATTTTTTCTTTAGCTTTAACGACTTTTTATGACAAAAATATCACACAAAAAATGTTCAGGGATAATGTAATTTCAGAGTTCGTTTTCGTCATGAAAACTCTTATAACATTTTATTTCAGACGTAGACGAATGCCAGATGAGCACTCACAATTGTAGCAACAATGCCACCTGCATTAACACCGAAGGTTCCTTTAACTGTAGTTGCAAACCAGGGTACAGAGGAAATGGCTACAACTGTTCATGTACGTGCTTGTAAAGTCTTTTCTATTTTTTCTTTAGTTTTAACGACTTTTTATGGCAAAAAAGTTACACTAAAAATGTTCAGGCATGTTTTCGTCTTGAAAACACTTATAACATTTTATTTCAGACTTAGACGAATGTCAGATGAACTCCCACAATTGTAGCGACAATGCCAGCTGCATTAATACCCAAAGTTCCTTTTACTGTAGTTGCAAACCAGGGTACAGAGGAAATGGTTACAACTGTACAGGTTGGTGGTTAGTTGCAAAGTCTTTTCTGTTAAGTTTTCTTGTTAGTTTTAAGGACTTTTTATTCTAAACCAGGTATAACGTAAATCAGGGTCAGTACTTGTTTTGAAAACCCTTAAATTTCGGGAGTTTGATTTCAAGGCCTTAGAAGTAGTTGAAATTGGTTTATGGTCCTTGAAAGTCCTTAATGTTTACCGAAGAAGATCTCAACTCAGTAAATTCTAGGGGACTTTATTTTAGGGTCTGGATAACCAGGACCCCCACTCACTTTAAAATCTGAACCCACCTTGAACAAAGGTACGGTAAAGTCGGGCAACAACAACGTGCAACCTGTTTTGCGACTTTGCTACAAGACGAGTTGAACGGTGATGCTGCGCGTTTTACCACCCGCGAATCAAACCTATCTTGCAACGATTCAGGTTTTCGCAGGTCATCATGCGAAAGGTTATCGCAGAAAGTAGAGAGTAGTTCTAATTTCTGCAACAAAGTCTGTGTAAGTTGCGCGTTTTACGGGTCCGAGTTGATAAATGACGTGTATGGCGTGACTCGCGCGTAATTTTATCCAATCAGAAGAGTAGTACTCATGCAACCTGCAAGTTTCGAGAGAGGGGCCAGGGGCCCGTTTCAAAAAAAACTTTTCGGGCCCGAAGGCGAATTTTAAAATCAAAACTTGTTGAATAGTAGCACAGTTTCTGGCTCACAAATCAATCAATTTTGCTTCATTAACTGATAGTTTCATTATGTAATTGTCAAAATTATTGAAACTGTGATCTTGAATGTAAATATGGCAAACACGAAATAGCTTTGCGGGCCTAAAAAGCTACCGGGACTTTCGAGAAACAGGCCTCTGGGACCCGTTTCTCGAAAGTCCCAATCTTTTCGTCCCCGAAGGCAGCATTTAAAGTCAAAATCAGTTGTATACTAGCATCGTTTCTAGCTCACAAACCATTCAATTTTTGTTTCGTTTACTGATAGTTTCATTGTCATTTTCAAATCTATTTCAAAAAAAGTTGTTCTTGGATATAAACATGGATAACCTAAAATAGCTTTCCGGTCCGAAAAGTAACCGGGACTTTGGAGAAATGTACTCCTGTTACTCAAAAGTCCCGGTAACTTTCGGGCCCGAAAATCTGTTTTGTGTTTGCCGTGTTTGCATCAGTCAAGATCAAAGTTTCAGTAATTTTGAAAATGATACAATGAAACTATCAGTTTACGAAGCAATATTGACCGGTTTGTGAGCTAGGAACTGTGCTACTATTCAACAGGTTTTGAGTTTAAAATTTGCCTTCGGGCCCGAAAAGGTACCGAGCCTTTTGAGAAAGGGGCCCCCAGGTCCCAATTTGAACATTTTTATTTTATAGCATTCATGGGCTCATTGATATTGGCAACAAATCAGTCCTATAATTATTATTTCGACAAATTCCTGGAGCCTGCGGTTGGGAATAATTCTCACTGGCTACTATGCTGGCGTGCTACCTTGCATGGCTTCAATGCCAGACAGTTTCACAGTCACTGTGATGGAAAGAACCACACTGTCACTATCGTAAAGAACAGTAGTTACGTGTTTGGGGGATACACGGACATTCCATGGGGTAAGAAAATAGCTTGTTTTAATGATTAGACAAGGAGGAACACAACGCATAGTTGAAGTTTGCGAAACCGATACTACCTCGAAATCTCTTTGCTGTTAAGCCTGTTAAGATTGAGTTACCAAAAAACTGTCTGTTTTCTAGAGAAATTTTTTTTACCGTTTATTTATTTTTTCCGCAATTTTTATTATTGCTTTTTATGGCTGGTGCGGGTAGGTACGCTCCTGTATTGGGAAACGAAACTCTTCATGGGCGCATGTTACTGGAGAGCAGTGCGCTATTCACATGTCTATGAAAGTAAAGCGATCTTTTATAGAAAAGCAATATATTCAAACATTGAACTTTTTTTCAGTTGCTACAGATACAAGGTATCGTCCCCTTCAAACTAGTCTTTCTTCTTGCCGATGACAAAAGAAGATAATTGTATAAGGGGCATTGCGCGTGGTAATAGCGGGTTGCTCCTAAGTTGATAAGGTGGATTGGCCACCCGTACATTGAGAAGCCTTTTGTTTTAGTTTATATGTTCATTCTTGTATGATAACGAATATAAAACAAGCAGGGAGCGAAACTAGCCACAGCAATTCATTAGATTTTTTTTCAAAAGTCAGTCCTTGCGTTTTTGTCTGTTTGTTAGGGTCCAGAGAGGGATATGGCTACACTTTCAATGCGTTTGTTTTTTCGATCAGTAATAAAGAAGAACTGGATCCTTTTAAGATTAATAACCTGCGGTGGCCATCGTATGCAATCTGGTCAAGTTCAAGGTGTGGCCCAGGATTTGGTGAGGACCAGATCATCATTTTGCTTAAGGAGGACGGGACTTCATTAGCACGTCTTGGCATAGACTACCCTGCTCCTGCTGCAGTGCAGGACCCGAACACAATCCTGGCCGGTAGCAAGTACTTCTTACCGGATGAGGTGGAGGTTTTTTATCTTAACCCAACTCCGTAAATGTAGAAGGAACCACTTCATTAACAACAACAAGGAAACATGCTTTAGACAAATTTAACCATTTTTGCTAATAATGTTGTCTAGAATTAGCCTGTAGCCGACATTAAGGGCGCTTTCCAACAGTCAAAACTGGCCGCTCGGACCATTCATTTTCAAAATGAACTGAAATGCTTTTTTCCAAGGGTTTTTGTTGAAAAGCCATCTCCTTCGTGCATGCTATTTAGGATTTGACTGATCTGGCTGGATAGTTTTGATTAAAAGTGAAAATCTCATTATGACTGGAATGGTCTGGCCGGTCAGTTCTGACAAATAGAAAGTGCTCTAAGAACGATCTCCTGAACCTGCACCGTTATAGCAAGATAACCGACCTCAGTTATAGCAGATTCCAAATTGTATAAAATGTGAAAAGAAAGAGTAACTATATCAGGAATTGGAATGTATATTCGCTCATTTCAATTTTCCAAGTAATACTTTTTTTCGAAGGCCGCCGCAGGAAATTAATAAACCGAAAATAAAAGTCTTCTTTAACTACCTCCCTCCTAAAACTGAATTTTGACTTTCCTTCGAACAATTTAATGTTGATTTGCCATAAAAGCGAAGTTTACCTATCACTAAGAAACAAGATGCTACGGAGCGTACACTTCGGCGTCGTGGTTGAAGAACTGATTAATTGTAAATGCGGTGGAATAGTAAGAAATGAAATATGGTAAGAGTAAAGTGTTAAGTTGTGAAATTATGGGATTTGTCAGGATATTCTGAAAAGAGCAACATCCAAGAGGCCTACTTGCCAAAAACTAGCATTTCGGGACAAATTGTCTGTGAGGTGTTAGCCCAGTTATGCTCTGATGACTCCATACAAATCCGAAAACATTTGACTTGGATCTAAACGTTTAGACCTAAGTCAAATATGAGGTTACTGGCGGCGAATAACAAGTCCAACAACTTTTTGAAGTCATTTATAGCCTGCGAAAACATCCGTTTCTCCTCGCTCTTCGCCGCTGGGGACGTTTCGCGCGGAGGAACGTCTGCGACTCAGCGACAGAAATTCCATGCTGATGGTCATCAGTATGGAATTTCTGTTGCTGAGTCGCAGACGTCCCTCCGCGCGAAACGTCCCCAGCGGCGAAGAGCTAGGAGAAACGGATGTTTTCGCAGGCTAGGTCATTTACTTTTGACGGTTTTCCGCTGACCAGTTACTAGCCTTTAATTGATCACAGACTCAAGTTAAACTTTTTTCAGCCTCCATATAATTTCTATTGTGAAACACAAATTCCCTCAAAAGGCTGTTTCATGAAAGTCCCAGTAATTACTAGCCTCCCCGCAGACGTCCTTTGGGGTTCGTTTGTCATGCGTGACAAGCGAACCCCAAAGGACGTCTGCAGGGAGGCTAAGTAATTTCTGGAGCCGGAAAGCTGTTTATTTTTTAATTTTTTAAAACATCCAAGATTGAGTTTTAATCACACTCAAAAACACAACTGGACTATGATATCATTGGTAAAACGTCGTCATCTCGCACAACGTATAACGTATCAGTGACATCATAATTTCCTAATTTTTTCGCAATGGTAGTTCGATTTTATCCATTATCTCACTTAATTATAATTAGATTCTTATTTCACTTGTATTTAACCGATAATAGTAGTTTTCCGGGGTGATGAATGTAGATATAATCAAGCTTAGAATTTTGAGTCCATGGGCTTCCCTGTTATTTGAATCAAAAGTAACTTCCTCTTCGAAGTTGGTTGAAGAATCTTTGGTTACTAATTATGTGAGAGAAGAATATGTTACAAAATCTAAAAATTAAAGTGAGAAAAAAAAAGTAGTTCTCTGCTTGCAGAGCCTACTTTTTAGTTACTCTTGGCACATGTGCTAAAAGTTCTACCTCTACTTTTAGCTCGTCAAGACAGAAACCTAGACTCTTGCTAGCAGGGAAACATACCTGCCTCGTTTCCATATTTTTAAGAGTTATAAGCTTAGAAATTTTGGCCTATCTGCGAATACGTACAGCCGGCGAAACGTCCAAAGTGGTGTGAAGCAGGGAGAGACGGCTGTGTTAGAAGGCTAATTTGGGACTGCAATTACAGAAATAAGATAACTATGGGCTTTGCCACAGGTATCCCAATAATGAAACAACAATGTGTAGAGTCAGAAAAACTGGTATTAATAGGGGACTCAAAAAACTGAGATAAATTTCTACCAACTGTAAATAATCGCGTTCAGAGAATCGTTCTTTGAATGTGTAAATTATTACTCTTTGTTAATTATTTCAAATCGTAAGACTAAGAAGTGTGCTTGCAGTGTTTCAAATGGTTAAGTTCAGAGAAACAGTTAACGCTACTGTACTCAGACCCGACACACAGCCCCCATTCCCAAAATTCCATACTACGTCGTCTTACTTGACATATACAGCCATTAATTTTTCACTTGTTCAAGCTAAGTAAAAGTTTCAAACGTCCCTTGTTTTCGG